GGCCATGGGGAGCCTCTGCCCGGGTTCTCTCCCAAAAGGTTGGGAGCCCAGACACCTGGGTCCTGGCCCATCTCGCTCCACTCCTCCCTGCAGTGATGGAGGTGTTGATGTTCGGGCGTGATGCCAGCATGGCGGAGGCATGGCTGTCCAGCCAGGAGCCCATCGTGCGCTCGGCCGAGCTGGGAGGCAGCGTGGCCGAAGTCGAGAACCTCATCAAGCGGCACGAGGGCTTTCAGAAGTCGGTGGCAGCCTGGGAGGAGCGCTTCCTAGCACTGGAGCGCCTCACTGCGGTGAGACCAGCATCCGCTTACCCCAGATGCCCCAGCACAGCCCCGCTCAGACCTGGGTCAGAACCAGGTGGCCCCACTAGGTCCAGGAGAAGGTTCCCAGCCCCACGTGTATCAGCCCAGGGCCCAGAGCCTCCGAGCCCTGCTGAGACTGGGGGGGCTGGGTCAGGAGCTTATCCCTGCCTCCCGTGCCCCCCACCCAGCTGGAGGAGAAGGAGCGGCGCCGGCGGGAGGAGGAGGAGGCCAGGAAGAGGCAGCCGCCGGAACCGGAGCCAGTGCCGGAGCCAGAGCCCACGGCCGCAGCACAGCCAGCCCCAGCCCTGGATGGGCAGCAGGGGGCAGCCTCCGCGCGCCCGCGAACCCGGCCCCGTGGCGGGACCCAGAGCCCACGGCCGCAGCACAGCCAGCCCCAGCCCTGGATGGGCAGCAGGGGCCAGCCTCCAGCCACGGTGCCAGGTGCGGGGCAGGAGCTGTGCTGGGGAAGGGGCGTGGCAGGGGTTAGGGCATGAAGAGGGGCACAGGGAGGGCTGTGGGAAGGCAGTGGTAATAGGGGCATCAGGCTGGGCACTGTGGGGGCAGGGGGCATCCCCGCAGATCTCATTGCCTCCCACTCACCATCTCCCCCCCTCCCCAGGACCCCCACCATGCAGATCTGCCCCACGGAGCTGCCCGCCATCAATGGCATCTGCCCCGACTCAGAGTCTTCCCAGGTACATGCTGGGTCTACAGGGGGGGAACCTGCGTGACAGTGGGGGAGCTGGGAGCTGGGGAGGGAGAACATGGCTGGGATCCTGGACGCCTGGGCTCTGCTCCAGCCCTGGAACAGGAACGGGAACGGGAACGGGGTGGGTGGCAGACACAGGAGGCACTGGGCAGCCCCAGCCCCATCCTTTGCCCCCAGGTCTTGGAGACAACAGAGGCAACGAATGGGGCAGGGCCAGACCCGCTGGCTAAGGATAAGGAGCAGAGCCCCACCCCCTCGCCCAAGCCCCGCCCCAAGGGCCCCATCCTGATTGCCGACCCCGCCCATGCCGCCACCCTCCCACCCAGGGCACCTGAGCCCCCTGCCCAGGAGAGTATGGAGGGGGCCCTGTGCCGCAAGCAGGAGATGGAAGCCCAGGGCAAGAAGGCAGCCAACAGGTGAGACCTCCCTTCCCCCCAGACCCTGTCATGGGGAGCACGGGCCAGAGCTGTCCCCACCCCAACCACCCCTTTCCCTCCCGCCCCCCAGGTCATGGCAGAACGTGTACTGTGTCCTGCGCAAGGGCAGCCTCGGCTTCTACAAGGACGCCAAGAATGCGGGCCACGGCGTGCCCTACCATGGCGAGGCGCCTGTTGGCCTGCAGGGCGCCCAGTGCAGCGTGGCCCTTGACTACAAGAAGCGCAAGCATGTCTTCAAGCTGGGGTAGGCACAGGCAGGGTGGGGCTGGGGGTAAGTCTGGGGGTAGGCAGACTGTGTGGGGGGGCTGGGTGAGGCTGGGGTAAGGCCAGGGGCACACAGGTTGGACAGGGGGCTCTGGGGAGCAGGGTAAGGCTGGGGGGGGCCCCTGGGAAACTGGGTGCAGCTGGGGGTAGACAGGCTGGGGGGTGGGATTGGGGGGCACGTGGCTGGGCGCAGTGCAAGCTGCAGGGGTGTTGGGGGGGATGGGCCCTGGGACAGGCAAGCCGTGGGGCAGCTCTGAGAGGTGCAGGGGTGGGGCGCTGGCGATGATGTGTCAAGCCCATGCCATCTCTCCCTGCAGGTTGAGCGACGGCAGAGAATATTTATTCCAGGCTAAGGACGAGGTGAGTCCTGCCCGCTCCCTCCCCTGGGGGGTGCCCCACGCCAGCCCTGGACCCTCGCACCGTTCATGTGACTCCCACTGACCCCCTGTCTGGCTCCCCCCAGGCGGAGATGAGCACCTGGATGCGGGTGATCAACACCTCGGCGGCCGGTGCCCCCGCTCCCCAGTGGGACACAGAGGAGCTGCCCGCGGGGCCAGGCCGGGGCATGACGCGGGCCATGAGTATGCCACCCGTGCCGGCTGCCGAGGGCCCCGTCACCCTGCGCAGCAAGGAGGGCAAGGAGAGGGACCGCGAGAAACGCTTCAGCTTCTTCAAGAAGAACAAATAGGGGCCCCGGGGGGCAGGGGGGGCTGCTGCTGCCAGGACTGCACCGCCCGGCTATTTAATCCATGGGACCGATGGAGGGACACGGGTAGGGCCCGCGGGGCTCCAGGCTCAGGGTGTAGGGCAGTGCGGGGCGGCTGCCGGGGGCTTGCTGGGAAGGGGTAGGGGGCAAAAGCTTGCAGGGCACGAGGCGCAAGGTACTGGGGGGTTGGGGCTGCCGAGCTGGGACGCAGCATGGCCGGGAGCACCGGGGACCTCTGGGAGAGCCACAAGGAGGGCTGGGAGGGGGTCTCTGCAGCCCCCCACCCCCTTTCCCATCCCAGGGGGGCTCGGCCTTGCCCTGGGCTCTCTCTTTCCAAGCTGGGGGGCTG